AAATCAAATTCCGTATAGGGTGTTTGACTAAAAAATTTTTTACTAAAGAATTTTTACCAACCAATTTTGTAGAGAATGTTTTTTTATATTTGATTGAACATTTTTTTACATCTTATTTTTGATTTTCTGATAATTTACATAAAAGCTATTAAGAACCGATATACAATTTCCACCAACTTTATGGGAAGATCAATCAGAAGACACTAGAACAACTAATGGTTCAGAATTTTTTCATACCTATGTTATTTAATTCGCAGTTAAATATATCGCATTCATTTATTTATTGAGTAATAAACATATAAAGTATTTAAACTGAAAAATATTTAAAAATAAATAGTGTTAAACGTAATGAAAAAGATAAACTATGAAAAGATTAAAGAGCAGAAAACAACATTCAATTTATAACGCATACTTGGGAAAAATTTAAAAATAAAATATCAATGAATAATTATTTGCAGGCAACGAGGCCACGATTTTGTACTAGCTATTAAGCGTATGTTTTTAAATACAATTACATACTAGAAAATGTATGATTATGATTCATATATTTTATTTTTATATGAACAAAAAAACAATATACATTTAGTATATACATTCAATTTAAAAAAAAAAAAAATTAACTAAATTAATGTTGATAATTTATTATAATAATTATTATAATTTGTATTGTAAATATTATTTTATGTTTTGCATAAATTAAACATAGTATAATAGTTGTATAACTGTATATATAGTATACACATATCATTTGGTGCGCAATCGTAATGTAGTTAGTCAAGTAAAAAAAAGGAAAAAATGCTGCGTTTCACTTTACATCCACAGCGTCATCAGTTGTGTTCTTAGAAAGTTATAATGGATAGAGATTTGGAATAAATAAATGCATGATTCTCTGATAACTAATACAAGTATTATTAGGTATCAACCTATTCAAAAAACAAATGGATTTAGTATAGAATAAAATATAAAATAAAATTGATAACTAAAAAAATACTTTATTTAATACAGCCATAACAGAGGACATTTTTTACGTTCAAAAGTAAATGCCAATAATGTGGTTCGGGTTTAATTGCGTTTTAAATATTATTATTATATTATTTAATTATTCAATTATAAATTGATAAATTTTCATTTTATCATATTAATCGATCAGTGGCGTATCTGAAGAGGAGAGGCACTCATTGTCTAAAATTATATCAAATATACTACCAAAGAAAGCAAAAAAAAAAAAAAAAATTATCAGATAAAATTGAGTGGCAGGCTGTCAGCTGCTCATTCCTGAAGTATACAAATAATACAAACATCATTAATCTTTAAAAAAAGTAATAGCAAATACGGCTAGTGAGGGAGAGCCATAATCCCTGTGACCCTCTGGATACGCAACTGCTATTGATGATACGATTATGTAATTTTTGATATTAAAACTGATTTATAAATTGTTTACATAGTACTAACATGTTTATTTTAGATCCTACGAACAATATTTTTATTCGTGTATCTGATGAAAGTAGTTGAATACATAAAAATGTATACAAAATATTTATATTTTGTATGTTATATTTTAATAAAATGACTTAAACTTTTTTAAATCGATATTTTTATATTTTAACACAATTTAATACTTATACTATTATTGACTAAATGTAGTATCTAATAGTTCTAATATTTGTATTATTTTTTTACTCCTTGTATTATAATAATGATCAAATTCAATATAGTCAAAACTATGATAAAGTATATGATACATAATATTTTTAAATAAATAGAATTTAAATTATTAACAACCAAATAAAGCTAAAATTATCCTAAACAAGTTGTTAATGTTGTAATATTAAGTGAATAAAGATATGATTTATAAACCCTAAACATATATTCTATAGGTAATTATAGATTGAGCAAGTGCAAAATAAATGATAAATACAATTTTTTAGGTTTGAAATTTTTTTAGTATTTTAAACTTTTAAATAACTTCTTACTTAAAATAGTGACATATAAATAGAGATGTGAGTTTGTATTATATATTGGTATAAAATTGTATTATACAGACAAGACGGTATAAAAAAAAAATTAAAGCATTATTTTCAGTTATTATTTAGTATTCATGAGTAAGAAATGACTCAAATCAATTGTTCTATCATAATATTGTAAATATAAGCACAATATGATATAGTAGGTATATAAGTATTAATTATGGTTTTCGATTTATTTCTATTTAAAAAATAAAAGATACATAAAAAAGAGATATCCTAATACGTTAGTTTATTTAAACTTTTTAAAGATAAATTAAATTTTTTTACTAAATTTCTAATATTAAATATAAGTATTTAGTACTAACAAGAAGTAAAATGTGAAACCAAAAAGTTAGTAGATATATTTATATATTAATTGGCAGATAATAAGGTAACTCAAATTCTAATTTTTTTTGAAATTTATTAAGAAAATGTATTTTATATTTTATTTAAAAATATAATTTAGTATTAAATATGAATTTTAATTAAAATATTTTAAATTTAAATTTTTTATAGTCCAAGATGTATGAATGTATGATAATCATACATCACAATTGGTAGCATGACTAAATATTAATTTGGTAAATTTGATCTAAAATAATTCTTATTCTATGTATTTTTTTAATGTTTTCTGACCTTTAAACCATTTTTTAATTAATTTATTTCAAAATGATTCATATTTTATAATTAACAATGGTTTTATAAATTGTGTTAAATTTCCGATAATTTAAGGTAGGTACTACAAAATTATACACCAGAGTTGGGCAAAATTTTATCTATAAAATATTATTCAAATAATTTTCAACTATGATTATTCGACCAAATTTAATTTGAATAAACAAGTTTATTATAAATTAAAATCATTTTTTTTTTCATAATTATTCGAGTAAAAATGTATTTGAATAATTTCAAAACAAAATATGTACTTTATAATAATTATAATTCTTCTAAATTCTTCTATTAAGGGTACATATATGTAGAATGTATCTGTACCCCAAAAGCAGTGTTTTTTTATAAATTATCAACCATATTTATTCAAATAAAATAACTGATGAAATTTAGTAGAATAATCATAGTTAAAAATTATTCGAATAATTGTAAAAACATCATTCGAATAATAGATAATTTTATTCGAATAACTCCCTACTCAGTTCTATACGCTATAATACAAAAAAAAAAAAATAAATAAATAAAATACCGTATTTTAACATCTTTACATATACACCTAGGAAAGAATTTATCCCTCAAATATTGCCTTCTTTGGCCAGTTAGAACGCCTTTCTCATTACAAAGCATAGCTGTTGTTTATTGTTACTAAATCGTATAATCTAGGTATATACTCTATGATAAATAAATATTTCAATATTATTATATTAGTACTACAGGAATTTTAAACGTTCTGTTGTTAATAATTAATACATTTGTACACCCAACCTTATTTTATTCTAAATAATTACTAGGTAAATTTACGCAAAAATATTTCATAAAATGTTAACTTTAAAATATCCACTTATAACTAATGTAATTTTATAAATTATAAAATGATTTAAGTTTATGTCATGAAAATATAGTTGAAATATTTTATAAAAATAAAATATTAAAGTTACTATCTATGTGTAAAATGTTTTAATATTATGTTATTATAGGCAAATATTTATGTATGTACTCGTATTTCTAAGCCAAACATTTTGAAAGATTAATATAATGTGGCTAATTTGTAATTAATATAAATCTATTGTTTTCAGATTTTTTTCTTAACCATGGCTGATCAAAAAAAATCCGTTAATCACATCAACACTGCTCTTAAAATTGATAAAGAAAAGTCCAAGAAAAGTAAGTACACCTATTTCAAATAATTTTTATTGGTATTAATTTAAAAGGGGAACAGTTCCCTAACCTAAGTTATTATTACTTTCCACTATAGTTTCTTCACGTTTTGAATGATAATTATTTTTCAAAGTAATATACTCATTAGTAGTACACACACAAATAATTTGTTATAATTTATATACATTTATCCTATATTGATATGTTATCACTAGAGCTGTGAATTTAATACACAAAAAAAATCTTAATAAATGATAAAAAAAATGTACTTAAAATGCAAAAAATGCAATATAAAATGCCAAAAATTATAACATAAAATACACTTAAGATGATTTTTAATTTAATTTTTATATTTATATTGATAATATAAAATATTTTGCATTTAGTAGGTACATACATAAATATGTGATATTTAAAAAAAAAAAAAAAAATGTTAATTGAATTTGAATTTTGTATGATGCTATTCAGCTGAAAAAATTTTTTTAATTTTTTATATATTTATTTTGTAAATAATTAGGTTTTCAAAGATGTTAATTGACGGAATTTAATTAAAAATACTGAAAATGAACGAAAAAAGGAAAACATGACCTAGAAATGCAAAAATTACCTAAAAAATTAAAAACGTTAAAGAATTCAAAATAAGTTTCTTAAATGAACTAATAAATAATTCAAATTCCGACTATGTACTTACAAAGCTATATGTTTCACAATTATAAAAAAAAAAATGTATTTTTCTACAAATTCACAGCCCTAGTTATCACATATTCCACGACTTATTAAAATGTAAGTAAATAATTAAATGTTAAAATGTTTAATTTAGTTGATAGTGGATTGATACCCAAAGACAAAATATGTATTGATAACAAAACTAAGACAGATGATGGACCATTGCTTGCTGATCAAATTAACAACCAAGTACCTAATGAAAGTAAATAATTACTTCACTTAATTGAATTTGTTTTGTTGATGATATTCATAAATATAATATTTAATTTAGGTACTGACAATCTTGAAGATGGAGAATTAGTTGATAATGTAGAATCTGTTGAAAGTAAGAACACCTTGTAAAATAAGTTTTTATTCATATTATTAGTAGGTATATAAAATTTTTAATTTGTAGGAAATGATAAACATTTACTCAAAAAAAAATCATGTGTCAACAATAAATCTAATTTAGAAAATCAATTACCATCTACTAGTACTGCTGAGAAACATATGTTGCCACGTAGCCTTGGGACATTGGAAAATACTGTAAACAATAGAAAGCGTAACCAAAATCAGAACGAGGTTTCTAATGAAAATATACATTGGACTTTAAAGAGAATTAAAATTGAAGATAATCGTGATAATCTGTTTCGTCATATGTGGAATTATCTTCAACAAGATTTTTCAAAATTTCATGAATGGGTAAACATATTAAATGTGGTTGATTACCACGATATCGTTGATAACGCAAGAATGGCTTACTCTAAATTTTTAGAACTATATCCGCTTTGTTACGGTTATTGGAAGAAATATGCGAATTTTGAAAAAAGGAATAATAATATAAATGAGTTTAAAAAAAATACTAGAAAACGGTTTAAATGCCATACCTGTAAGTGTTGATTTGTGGATTTATTACACGGACTATCTAAAATTGGAAAGTAATAATGAAGACGTTTTTATTCGAAAAGAGTTCGAAAGAAGTTTGAAAATGTGTGGACTTGATTATCATTCTGATCGGTTATGGTTTAATTACATATCATGGGAAATAGAGAAAAACGAAATATTTAATGCAGTCAACATATATTATCGTCTTATTCGTACACCAACTTCAAACTGTTTTAAAAATTTCTTGAAGTTTCAAGAGTTTATATTCAAAAATATACCTGAAAAATATTTAGGTCTTGCAGAATTTAATAAAAGACGAAGCATAATAATTGAATCATTAGAAACAAATCAAAGAAAGTTGTTAGCTTCTGATTCTTTACCACCTGGTGATGATAGTATAAATATAACTGAAAGTACCGACAATAATATTATATCCATTGTAAGGATAAGTTTTATTGAATCGTGGTACAATGTTCACAGTCAAACTATCAAAGAATTTGAAAGTAGGAAAATATTTGAGGAAAATATAGAAAGAACTCACTTTCATGTAAAGAAGTTGAAAATTGATCAGATTTTAAATTGGGAAAAATATATTAAGTTCGAGAAAAAAGCTGGAAACCAAGAACGCATTATTTTCCTCTATGAAAGATGCTTGGTATCGTGTGTTTCACATGAAAAATTTTGGTTAAGTTATCTGGAATACTTATCTTCTATAAATATTGACGTTACTGATTTATTAATTGATGTATTCAAAAGATCATTATTTCACCATCCAAAGTCACTCGATTTAAATTTGAAATATTTTAATTTTTCCGAAAACAAAGGTTGGATAGAAAAAGCTAATGAAACGATAACGAAATTAGGATTACTTTATCCTAATTCAAAGGATGTTACTATTAGAATAATTAATTTAGCTAGAAGAAAGCAAGATGAAACCTTAAAGAGTTTATTTAAACATCATTTGATTTGTTCTCAATCAAAATCTTATTCTAGTTACATTGCGGTGAAATATGCACGTTTCGTTTGGAAACACGATCGTCAGTTAAATCTCGCGTTTAATATTTTAAATGATACCATACGACATAAGAACATCAGCGTAAACGACAATTTTGAGATTTATTTAACGCTTGTTGAATTGAAAATGGAATTAAGTCTAAAAGATTATAAATCGGTTATAAAAACAATTGATGATATAATATCGGCATGTAAGTTACTTAAGGATAAAATTGCATTTTCAAAAAAAAAGGTAGAATACATCGAAGATTATATTCAAGAATACAGATTATTACATTTAGCTAAAATTGAATACAAAAATTTAAAAGATATGAATTATAAAAAAACAGCCATGGAATAATACAATGAAGAAATAATGAAAAATTAGCAAATTCACACCTATATATCTCATAATTTATTAAACACTTCTTTATATTTTTAGCAAGTCCACTGATTTAAAAATACACATTTATAATTTAATGTACCTAGCTTAAAAAGGTTGTCAATGATACATCTTAAGATTTACTCATTATGAATATGTTATTTACAGTCAAAGTGAATAATTCGAACATTCTAACATAAGGAGTGGGGGCATTACATAAAGGCATATCTGAATCTGTTTTTTAATTTAGTTACATTATACGAACATTGTATATAATGCCCTGCAATTGTCTGTAAGTAATGCAAATTTTTTATCTATTTAAGTAAACATTTTCTGGAAACGAGTCTATACTATAACTATAGTCTATAACTATTATCGATTACGTTCTCCAACATTGGTATCCAAGTAATTGCGCTGTATTGTAATAGATATATTGTGTTAATTTTAATATCTGTAATAATATATTGAGAATAATAATAATTTACAAGCATAACGATAACGATTAGTTTTCGCTGCACGACAACTTTATCAGAAGGTACCTATGCTGATGATAAACTAAATCGGAACTATAATATAGAATTTAGATTAGTTTAAATTACTCGATTCAACAGATTGGCGTATTTATACAAGTTTTGTCATTTTAAATTTTGTTACGATTATTATTTTTTCAATACTTAAAATTTCATAAAAAATTGATTGTTCTTTTGAGTGAAAAAAATTCAAATAGTGTATATCTGAGTTATGAAATATTATTTTATACTAGCTGATCTTAGGCATGGCGTTGCTTTAGACGAATTAAATATCTATTAAATATACCTCTTCTTAAACTTCGTTAAATTTTAACAGCACAAATAACGCGGTTATTTTACTAAGTTTATAATACAGATTCAAAATAATATTCAATTATAACTAATTTATTTTATGTAAGGGGTGGCAACAGTGCTTATACGGAAAAAATGTTTTTCATGAGCCATATATTATTGTAAAACTCCTTTTTAAAATGTAAAGTATTAAAAAATGGCTTCGATAAATTCACTTTTGGATATAAAATTTCTTATGTATCGAATCTCATTATCACGATTTCGATAGACTTAACTATGAATTATTTACGCATATACAAACATTGTGTTTTATTAGTATAGATTATTACAGTATAATAAATTACTATAGTTTAATTAAAATTACAATATACATCACTTTTTAACATTCATATTATATAAAAATCGGTAATTGTAAATTATTAGTTGATAACAATAACTGTTCTAACTAGGAATATTTTTCGTACAATTTCCCTCTATGTTTTAATCACTTTATACAATGCATGGGCAAATAATTGTTCACATTGTCTATTGAAATATAATATTGTACTAACCACTATGACTGTAACTTTAATTTACATACATATTATCTTTATTTTATAGATAATTGAAGATTTTATTATTAATTATATAACTATACTATATCGTATATACACACATAATAATACTAAGTGCACTAATAAAAATATTACATTTAATTAATAATTTAATATAATCAAACTTTTTAACTTTACATAAATAATATAATAAATTATAGTTTAATTAATGTATAATTAAATCATATGAAATTTGAATATATACCTGTATGCTTTAAGATTAGACCCTAGGAAATACCATACATATTTACTATTATAAGGACATGATGTATCAAATAAAAATTATTTTTAAGTTCCATTAAACACAATTATTTATTTTTTTTTTTTTTTTAATATATTATTTTATTATTTACCAGCATTTATTATTGATAATTTGTAAGTTAATATTTATTAACTTACAAATGATATGTTGATGAAATTTTTATAATTATAATTAATTATTTATGCAATTATATTCCTCTGAATTTTATAGACATAGCATTAATCTTGCACATAATAATTATTTGTGATTTGATTTATTTAAATATAAATAGTATAAAAAACATAGAATTGTTTGTTTACATAAAAATACAGAAGAATTAAATAAGTTTTAGAGTTTGTTAATCAATTAAGATACCTACAGTAAAAATATTTACCGGTAAATATATGTTTAATAAACATAGATTTAAAACGAAAAACTAATAGTTTTAGGCTCTAAGCTGAGCGATAAATGTATTAACTTTATAATGTGGTTTTTTTTTTTATATATATAATTTGAAAACGAATAACAATAAATACTTGAAATTTTCATTTATTTATAAGCTAGTAGACATTTTCATCTTTTATAAATATCGATTAAAAACTTATTTATTGGATAAAAATAGTTAAAAAATTAATATGAAGCTCCTCGAAAGTTGTTCATTTTTCAATTAAAACATATCAAAAATCCATAGTCACCATTTTTTTTTTTTTTTTTTAAGCGATTGAAATAAGAATTTTGACACAATTTATAAAGCTTATGAATTAAATATATTAAATTATTTTGTGGTTAGGTGCCGCCTGTGACTCTGGCTGGCTTAACCAGGTCACCTTCTCTCATCAGTGCATGAGCATCAGTCAAGCTATCGAGTGCATGAGCTCTTCCCAAAACCAACACACGGCATACACACAAGATTCTGCGAGCGACAGCTGGACTTCTTTTTTTATAAGTCAAATCAGAGTTGTTTTTTCTTATTTAAATTTAAGTTTTTCCTAAGTCGTTTCGTAATTTGTGTCATCTTACATTTTTCTCCGAGGAACGTACTTTAAGTATCACTGCAATGAATCAGGTAAAGTACACGTCTAAAATACTTATTGTTAGTACAGGTCCTTTTACTATCTAATTTGCGTAATGACGTGCTTGGTTAAATTCTTGAATACAAGACCTCGAGAACCCTCCGAAAAACAGGAGGAAGGTAATACGTAACACAAGAGCAAGTATATTTAATAATTATTAACACCGGACTTACATCCAAGGCTTGTGTCCCTTGTGTTTGTCCGGCCGTATCTCCCCTTTTTTGCTATATTTTTAACTTAAGTATTTTTATCCTTATTTGTCATATTTTCTCGTTATTACATACCTAAGATTTAAAAATGTAATACTAGGTTATTTATTAGTTGTTCAATCAATAAATGAAAAAAAATTATGGGTATTCAAATTCAAATACATATTTTAATATTTACGACATTCAATATTCAACCATAAAATATAATTATATCTACTCAAACAATTTTCAATATTTTATTGTATTTCAAAAAAATAATTATAATATATACAAGAAATGTTCACCAAATTCTTATATAATCATTTTCAATGTACAATAAAATAAAAATGTCTAGCTCTCTTTGAGTTATTTATAACTTATAAGTATGATAACTTTCAATTTTTTTTAGTTTATTTTTTTTTTTATAAATTTCAATAAATAATTATTAGATCAAAATCCTTGAAAATTTAATACAAGATTTCTCATAAATACTTCATATTAAAACCATAATATATATATATATAAACTACCACAAATACTACTCGATACTTATAATTGTATAACAGGGCGATACTCACTTAATTTTTATGTATGTTAACATGGTATTTATCTTTCTGTTGAAAAGCTTAATAATATAACTTGAGATCTATGAAATATAACGACTATCTGATGTTACTAAAATTATCATTTTCAATTATAAATTTTTCATAATAGGTATGTAGATAGTTGAGGTTAGGTTTAAGCTATTCATACTATAAACAATTTAAACCTATTCATATGCAATACACCATTCTACAGTACTAACTTTGGAAAAAAAATTAATTCGACCTATTGAATTAAATATAAATTATATACATAATATAAAAGACCATTCATTATTACCTATTCTTAAAAATCGTTGTAGATGCACCGGCTCTTAAGGAATCTTAATGGCTTAATTTTTTGCTTAGTGCTTCATAATAGTTTTTCAAAGTATATAATTTAATAACATTTATCATTAAATTCAGATTTAACACCTCTATTAACCTACTCGATTAAGAACATTTTTCAATGTTCGTTATTAGATTAAAGGTATTGATATTTTTATAAAAAAAAATAATATTTTTTCCTTAAAATCTGATAAAATATCTATATTTTTATTTATTATTTTTTTTTTATAAAAATAATAAACTCGGGTAAAGGTTAGTATTGTTTCATGGTAAAAAAAAATATTAATATTAATAAATAAGTATTAAATTAACAGTTCAAACTTAGAATATTTATATCATAATAAATAAATGATAACTTTTAGTTGTTTTTCATTTCTTTTATAGCCGAATTTAAAAATGTATTAAAATTTCAATAAAAATAAGTGTTGCAAAATGTTGTTAAAAAAATAAATAGTTATTCATAAATTGTATTAATAAATATTATTTTAGTATTCTACAGTCGTATAAACAGTCGGTTGGTTACAATGGCTGTTATAAATATTAGACCAAGCAAAAAGTATTTTGTAAACTAACGAAAAAAAATTGGTCTAGGTACTTACAATAATTGTTACCTATTAATTAACATTTTACGTTTCAAAATGTTCTTATACAATTCGAAAATGTTGAAAAAAAATAGTTATTTTGTTAAAATTATTATAATTAATTACATTTTTTCCATGAAATGATATACATTTTAATTATTTAATATACTTAAGCAATATATGCTGTATAATATACATTAAATGATAATTAATGCATATATACACGAATAATTCATTAATACGATTAATAAATAATAATAAATTAAATAGTTAGGTACATTTTAAAACATTTTTTTATCCTAATATGTAATTAAAATAGTTTATTCAAGACCTAAGAGCCTATATGTTTTTTTCATTGAACACAATTGACAACATAGCGCAGTCTTCGTTTAGAATAATACATTTTACACTTAAATAATTAAAACTTAAATAGAATACATTGTAAGATAATACTTTAGGGTCCCATTTAGTCTTTTTTTTTTATATATTTTAATTTTAAAACAATCCTATATGAGCATTTTTTAATTTTCAAAGCAGTTTCTAAAACAAATATGAATCACGACCTCGGTGCTTATATAGTTTGCAGTTTATACACTCAGCGGTTCTCATCAAGTCAGTCAAACACACGTACATAATGATTAATAAATATAATAAATATGTATGGGCATATGGCTAAACATACTAACTAGAAACTACCTATAAGTGACACAAATTGGGTGCTTCGTCAATAATTAGGTATATCATCTATATTGTAAATGATTATGAATATTAAAAGTAGCTGTAAGCCACCTTTCATCGGAAAAAAACTTATTAAATACATGAAGTTGAAACATATACCATAAAAATCCATTACTAAGATTTCATCAAAACAATACCTATTTAGGTCACCCAATGGTGGAGTTTTCTTCATGCTTTAATAGTTATTTTTGAAAACGCTTACTCCGTCCGATTGTCTCACTAAAACGAATTATATACGCGACATAATAATATATATCATCGGTGCTATTAATGAATTCGTACAATCACGGTTTAAGAAATATACATGATAGTAATCTTTATTTAATTTATTTTTAATTTACCAAATTTAGAAATATAATACTCATTTTAAAATGGACAATAAACACGATTGTCGGGTCATTTTGTTGAGGGAGAGCTTGAACGGGAGGCCGAACGCGATTTCCGGGCACCCCGTAGGGCGCTGGTAACGTTATCTGATCCGGTGCTCCGCATCATGCGCATGTGGCTTGTTCCTCTAACTTCTGCCAAATCATCCGATATTTCACCGACGGTAGAATCGCTAAGCGTGAAGACACGGCAGCCGCTGCTTCTCCTTTTACTCCTTCTCCTTCTCTTGTAACCTGTCGACCGCCGGCACATGGATCTCCTTCTCCTCTTCCGGCGGTGGGTGCTGCCACAAGGATTTCCACATTTGCTGGCCGCCATCGCGAGAACACTGCTACCGCCGCCACTATACGATGAAGTGTCGGTGGTCTCTGTGTCATCATCGTCGCCACTATTGATCTGATGACGACGACGACGACGCCAGCTGACCTTTCGCCTCCTCCGTCTGCTCGTCCTCCTCCTGGATGTCGCATCAACCGTTGACGAATCATCGTCGCCATCCTCCGCGTCCGTAGTCATGTCATCTTCGTCTACATCGGTGCCGCTACGTCTCTTTACGCGCCGACGACCGGACCGTGACCGACTACGCCTCCTGCGACTCTTCGATCGACGGCCTTTGCGCGTCCGACGAATACTTCTCAGTGCTACTATGCCGCTGACGCCACTAGTCGACTGGTCGCTGCTATCGTTGTCCAAAGCGTAGGTCGAAACGCTCAATGCATTTTCACGTCTTCTCAACGTCCCGCCTCGCTCGGCCAAGTTTTTCATCGCCGATCGCTTTTCAGTGATCCGTTTACCGGCCATAATAATGCGCAACGTGGTTAGGTCTCAAGATTTAGTTAAAAAAAAAAAAAGCCGGCACTAATTAAAACAAAATCTTATAATATTATATGTATAATGGGCTTCCTTCGTATTACTTTCTGATAATAAACAATGTATCCATACGACGCGCGACGCACCGTATAAACTACACAGTCATATTTTGATTTCGGCCAGCAACACTAAAAATAATTAATCGCAATATGACTAATATATCTATGCATAGATATGAAAATGATTCTAACCGGTAACGGTTTACCAGCCTTCTTTTCAAAGGATAATTTATTAATTACTGTACCTATATTATATATATTACTATAAGTAATTGATTTTTGTTATATGTTTATACGAGTTGAAATAATTTTTCTACTAGCTGTTATTAACATATAAATCAATAATTAAAAATCAAAAAGTAGGTAACTACTCTTTTGTAAAGTACTTGGATTTCGTGAGTATACCACATCATTAAGTCACTTAATAGTTTGATAAATGTGTTAAATTTGAATTTAATGATAAAAAATCAACCAACGACACCTGTATACATAGGTTCAGAGTAGAGTTATTAATTAAATTAAGACGATATCCATTAGTTGAATAAAAAACATTGCGAATTTTAATAAAATTTTAATGATTTTGTTTATCGAGTTATGAGCAAGACTAATTGTTTCAAGATCTAAAATTAAATCTAAATATTTTCAAGTTCAACACTTGTAAGATGAAATGTTTAATTCCTTAGTAATTTAGTTTAATAAAATTAAATAAGCTTTATGATGTTTTAAGTACAATAAACATATTGTACATGACATCAATTCCTACTTAATCAAACAACTAAAATTATTTACATCAATTTGATTAAGATAAAAAATACGATTTTAGTCCTTCAAACATTGATATTATTCATTCAATGGCTGGAAATAAAGAGAGCCATCTTGTTTTAAAATGAGAAAGTACACCTTAGTACAAGTAGTAAGTACAAAATAATCATAAAATTAAGTACTATTGTTTTAATTTTTCGACACGGCAGTATTTTATGAAAAAAAAAAACAAAATTTTACAAACAATTTTATCAACATCAACAGGTAAAGAACCAAATATAATTAGAACTGTGAATTATGTATGCATCATATCCTATTCTTAAAATATTTTTATTTAATGTTGGTTTTAATTTAAGAAATACGTTATTTTTCCCTTTTTTCAACATGTCTTCAAAATTGTGTTTGTATAATCTAAGCGAACAAGAGCAAATCTTACATTATACTATGTAGTCATTATTTCTATGTACTTTTTTTAAAAATATAAATTTATTTTTAATTTTTCAGTATATTGACTTCAACGTTTTAATGGCTCAGAAATAATAATTATATTAAAAATAAATTGATAGAAAACAATATTAATTGTTGAAAAATAAATTTAAAGAATAATAATAAACGTAATAAAAATATAACGAATTATCAATATGAACAATACACTGGAGGATGGAGGTTCGCATACTATCACAGTTTTGTAATAATTACTATAAATAATGACATAGTCTATAAGAAATACGCTTTATAGATAATACGCCACCACTGGAAATTATAAATTAAAAATACATAGAACAAAATAACATTTTGTTAAGTAGATAAGAAGTGTTTAAATAATATATAATATATAAATATATTTATATAGTGTAGATACTAGATACGGCCGGTTTTCGCTGATGATCACGTATTTTTATGATGAATTATATTCGTCAGTTTTTTTTTACATATTTAATGAACATTTGTAGGTTTAACTTTTCTTCGGAATATCGGGACACAAGCCTTGAAATCGGAAGTGTTACGACAACTTAGAGACATATAACAACCTTATAATATCTATTCACTTATATTTTATAATCTATGGGTCTGTACTCTGTTAGTAATACAGCCCCTACACATAATTATAATTTCGTTAAATTACTATCGTTATTATAAATATTAATTTTTAATATGATTATTAGTTATTACATGTTATGACAAAGTAAGAAATGTACCAACAGTCTACGCCTACTTCTAACAATATTCACGTAACTTCTATAAAAAAAAAAAATTAAAAAACTTAGTCTGAAAATTTTTAGTGTTGCTGAAAATGTCAATAAATAACTTCATGTAACTAATTACTTACTAATCCTATCTGTACTTAAGCTAAAAAGCACAAATTTAAAATCGCATTTTATAAAATTGTGGAATCGATCGCTTTTAAAAAAACAAAGTAATTGATAACTAATTTTATCCGCTAATAATAAAAATAATATTCGATTGTCGGTCGGCGATAAAATAGTCTACGTGGTGGGTATATTATATTATATTTATAATAATATGACTGCCGGTCGACGCGTTCCTCGCCGAGGAGGTCCACTCGGCAAGACCGTTGCTGTGCATGTCATATTTTAAATCGTCATGACTCATGAACTTACAAAAATAATCAAAACAGTAAGCATCTATCTATACGCAGGTGACTACGGTAGGTATGTTAATAAAAATTATCAAGTACCTAATAAATATCATTAATTGTTGTAAACTTTGGTATTATATGGCAACTAGTAAGGTATAGAAGTAGACGACCGTAGATGGTCCGTATTATGGAGATATAAAATAATTATTCTATGAAACCAGGTTGTTACTATAAACTTTATCATGTAAAATTGATTATATTCAATTTGTAGCCTTGTAAGTAACTTGTTAAAAATATTTAATTACTTATGTATAATATAATATGTATTAAATCCACAAAATACGACACAGTTATGCCAAGGTGTAACATAATGAACCAAATGTTTAAAGTGCACATTTACTGTTATTGTACTCAATGTAAACTGTCTGGTTAACACTTACCATAACATACCACATTGTTAAAAAATATTAAACCACATAAAGCTCATCGTATAGTTGGGTCCAATGACCCAATCCAGTGACTTTTCCTGGTTTTTTAATTAATCGTTAAACTTTTTGTTAAACAATTATTGTTATTTTATTGCATTTATAATAAATATTATCAAATATTTTAATAGTACAATTTAAAAATTATAAGGAATAACTTAAAATATTAAAAAAGGTAGGCAAGTTAATACTAGTCTGCTGTATACATTACATATCAAATGTGTGTGTTAAATTTGAATTTAATGACATTGTATACGAAAAACGATTTTGAGCGGAGGTCTATCAGCCTACATCACTACAGTATATTTTGTGATATATATATTTTTTTTTATGTATACGGTATACCTATTAAAGTCATTTATTTTAATTTTATTATCACAGTAGATTAGTATAATTTTTAAAGTATTACATGTATTATATTATTATTAATATTGATGAAATCGAAGGTATATCTAACCGGTATATTGTTCAAGAAACAAACAAGAGTATTTATTCCCTAGTTTTTCTAAAGGGATATTTATTTACAAGCAATAATGTCTTTAACCAGAGGCATAGTCGCATAAATATAAATTATATAATGGAGTAGACAAGTAGAGTTTGATTTTCAATTATTTGTAAAAAAAAAGTTTAATAAAAATATAATTGGGTTGAATTAAAAAATAAATATTACGTAGCATTTATAAATATATTAACTAATAAGGTCTTTTAATATTATTAAATAAATGTTATAATTATTATTTGTTTTTTCTTAAATTGTTATAGATGTAAATTTAATCTTTGTCTACGTTGTGTAAGTTTGTTAACAATTTATTATGGATCAACAAGACGTTCCTGTGATATATTTAAAGGACTAACTCAGACGTTCTTAATTTTTTAAAATATAAAATATAGGTAATTATAAAAATTATGAAAATTACCTGTTAGACTGGAAAATTTTCAGAGTACCTACACGGTATAAATGACAAATGTATAATACTGTATAGTGTATATTATACCTACATTTATACTGAATACTAATTGTCTTGCTGTCTGGACGTCTGATTTAACTTCAACAGAAAAAGACGTATTATAAATAGATAAATTGTTAAGTCAAACACAATGATAAATAATATTTATTAACTATTATTAGTGGTATCGCCCATATGCAATTGCTGATCGGCAACAATTTTTTTAAAAAAAAGATAAGATTTTTCATTGGCCCATAGGTACCAATCTAAATTTTAGAAAAATGAACATATCAAAAACCAAACATATCTTTGTAAAAATATTCATGTTCTTTCTTTATTCAGAAGTCTAGTATAAACTAGATACAATTTTATATCCAAAACAATCCTCAAAGTTGAAAATTGAAGCATTTTATCGACTACCCACTTATCGTGCACATACACAAACACATAAAAAAAAAAAACATCGCTTTGCTCAGGATCTACAAAATAATAAATATATATTATATTTTAATTATTATAAAAAAAATTAATGTTTATATTATTTATGAAAATAATATAAGTTAATAGCAACTGTACCAAATGCAGACTGAAAAATTAGGATGTTTTATAGATATTAAATATCGAAAGCGGATAGTCATTGAAAAAACAATAGCGCCTGCCGCCTTGCAATACTATTAATCTATGACCATGTATTTACGCTTCCTATAGACTATTACACGCGATACGTATTTCTTATCACAATATTATATTGGCATTGGAAAATAATTTAACGATTTGAAATTCAACTATTATTTTATTTTTAATAAAATGTGAAATATTATTTAACTAATTTTCTATAATATTATATAATAATTATCATAAAAAATGTGATTTACTATAATAATAATGAGGATTCTTACATATTTTATTTACATATTATATGATTGAATGTTAACACATAATTAAATCACTCTGAATAACGCCACTGGTGAAATCGTTGTTTTAACTAAAGAATATTATTTAATTTGGTGAATGGGTAACAAAATGATTTTGGAACACTGACCCAGTGACCAAATGGAATACGGTAATAAATAATGATATATAGCTGTACAATCACGGTACCTATTCTCGTTAACGCTTCCTCACTGTTGGTAATTTT